AGGGTCTGTGAGTGGTCTGCACCGTGGATCTCGTGTCGGGGAGGGTCTGTGAGTGGTCTGCACCGTGGATCTCGTGTCGGGGAGGGTCTGTGAGTCGTCTGCACCGAGGGTCTCGTGTCGGGGAGGGTCTGTGAGTCGTCTGCACCGAGGGTCTCGTGTCGGGGAGGGTCTGTGAGTGGTCTGCACCGAGGGTCTCGTGTCGGGGTGGGTCTGTGAGTGGTCTGCACTGAGGGTCTCGTGTCGGGGAGGGTCTGTGAGTGGTCTGCACTGTGGGTCTCGTGTCGGGGAGGGTCTGTGAGTGGTCTGTACTGTGGGTCTCGTGTCGGGGAGGGTCTGTGAGTGGTCTGCACTGCGGGTCTTGTGTTGGGGAGGGTCTGTGAGTGGTCTGCACCATGGGGACAGATGTGTCGGGGTGGGTCTGTGAGTGGTCTGTGAGTAGTGAGTCCTTGGCAGCACTGAGCCTGCTCGGCGTGTGAGCCTGTGAAGAAGAGAGCCAGTGTCTCGCAGGAGAAGGAGGGTGGAAGACTTCTCCCCCTGCAGTCTTTGTCAGTGACCTTCCTCCCCATCCTTGGACCTTTAGAACTCTGGTCCTCTGAAATCCTGTACCATGTGGAATTCTCTCGCTTCTTGTTGGGGTAGTCACAGTTTGCAGCCTTGTTCTACTTTGGGACCTGCAGTCAGGCTGTGTATGTGTACACGTGGCCCTGGGGGCCCTGTATGCTGCTGTTAGGAGCAGAGGTCCTGAGTCCAGCCGCTTGGCTTGGATCCCACTTCTTCCCTTTCTGCACATCAGTCTGTTGCCCTGAGCTTGGTTTGGTCTGCTTGTGGGACAGAGCAGTGCTGCCCTGCAATGTTGTCCTGAAATCTGAGTGGAATAATTTGTGTATGTTACATGGTGAGGTCTGACATGGGGCTGGTGTTCAGAAGGTGGGACCTGCATAATCCATGGGCTAAGCAAGTGGTGCTTAGGAGCTCTGGTAGCATAGTGCCTAAGGCATCTGACTGCTAACCAGAAGGCTGGTGGTTCAAACCCACCAGCCACTCCTTGGAAGGAAGATGGGGTGATCTACCTCCGCAGTGATACTGCCTCGGAAACCCAAGGAGGGGTCGCTATGAGTCGGGTCCGACTCGACGGCACATAACAACAACAACAACAACAAGAACAAGCAGGCGGTGGGCTAGTAGGGATGGTTGCCTCTGGTGTCATTCATCAAAAGGAGCAAGAAGGCTGCTGGCTAAGAAGTGGAGTGCAGCGCTGTAGCCCAGACCTCAGGGCACCCCTGTAAGCGGTGGGTCTCCTCAGCTCAGCCTTTTGCCTGTAAAGTGAGAACATGCGATTGCCACACAGGGTGGTGAAGATGAGATGAGGGGACCGTACCAGAAACAGTGCTCAGTGCACAAGCCATCCCTGGGGAGCAGAAGCTTCAGGAGCTCCTTAAACGTGGGTTGGAGCAGCACCACCTCTGTGGACTTCCCGCGTGAAGTGGTGCAGGAATCTGCCTCTCCTCGAGCTTTTAAGAATGGATGTCCTGTCAGTTCTAAGGCACCTGGCAGCCTTTAGAGACGCTGGAGAGAGAGCATGGTGGGTGCGCTAACAGGCAGGTCTGACGAAGGCCTGTGGGGCAACAGGCTTCTTCCTGCACGGAGACGAGAGGCATTCTTCCGGCAGCTCAGCGCCGAGGCCCTGCTCGGTTGGCTGTGTGGTAGCCCCGTGAGGCGGAGCCTCGAGCTCACAGATGGAACATGCTCACCTCTTGTGGGAAGGAACCAGGAGCTGGAGCTGGAGGACACCATTAGAAAGTAACACCACCGCCCGTGTGTCACGGCAGAACTGTGCTCCGTGGGGTTTCCAGTGGCTGCCCTTCTGGAGGAGATCTCCAGGCCTTTCTTCCAAGGTGCCTCGGGGTGGACTCTAGCCTCTCACGTTTTACTTAGCGGTTGAGGGTGTTAATTGTTCACACTACCCTGGGGCTCCTCTTTGTCTGTTGGTTGCTGTCGGTTGATCCGACTCAGCCCCGTGTGTGCAGAGGAGAATATGCGCCGTATAGGCTTTCTGGGCTGTGACCTTCTGGGAGCCAGGCCTTTCTTCTGGGGCACCTGTGGGTAGGTTGAGCATTTCACTTTTGGTGCCATCCAGGGTTGACTCCTTTGTGTTAGTTTACAAAAATGGGACTCATTTTGTATGTTGACTTTGTGTCCTATGACCTTGCTAATTCACTTACATTCTAGTGGATTCTCTGCGCTCCTGAGGACTTGCTCCACGGCACGTGGTGTCTGTGAATGAAGACAGGCACAGATGATCCCTGTGCTGCTTATCTGGTTTTCTTGGCACGGTGCACTGGCTGTTGATGCCATGTGCTGGCTGGTCAGTTCCGGCTCAGTGCCCCGTGTGCCACAGTCGAGCTGTCCCCAGGACAGCTTTCTTGGTGGTAATCTTTATGGAAGCTGATCACCGGGTCTTTGTCCTGTGCAGCCACTGGGTGGGTTTGAACCACCAACCTTTTAGGTTAGCAGCCGAGCGTTTAACTGTTGTGCCGCCAGTTCCCCTTGTTCCTCTGGCTGAGACCTCTGATAACCAAGCTGAAGAAAAGTGGTGACTGCAGACATCCTCACCTTGTTCCTCTCAGAGAGGTTGGGAGCGTGTGCCAGCTCTCTCCCCAAGTGGTGTGAGCTGTGGGCTGGACCTGTCCACCAGGTCTCCTGAGGAAACTGCATGTGGTGTCTGAACAGAGGGAATTGCTATAAAGAAGGTGAGAGGAAAACAGAACTCCAGTGCCTCTCAGAGTTGCTCCAGGACATGGCCGCCACTCTTAGGGCTGGGGAAACCAAGGGAGCTGGTGTGCTTACCAACTCCCAGCTGCCAGGACTGTGGCACTGAAACGCCCACCTCAGTCCGCCCGGTGCTTTGAATGTGGTGGGGTCTCCTGTGGCCAGCTGGTTGCTGGGGTGGGGGTGGAGGGTTGGAGGAGGGAGAGCAGCATGAAGGTGACTGCCTGTCGGAAAACCTTTCACTGGGCTGGGACCACCATGGCGCCCTCGTGTGCGTCACAGCAGAACTGCACTCCCCGGGGTTTTCAGTGGCTGATTTCTTTTGAGGTACCTCCTGGTGGACTGGGACTTAGAACCCTGGGGATAGCAGCCAAGCACGTGAACTTGTGTGAACGACCTTTGGGCCGCCAGCAGACAGGAGAGATCTCGGTCCATCCTTCTGCACTCTTGGGCCTCTTCGCATGTCCCTGCTGGCCGAGGGTCGGTGACTTTGTTGCTGACTGACGCCAGCTGAGTAATTGCCTGCCTCTTATTACGGGGAAGACATTTCTTCCTTTCTTTTCGGGATAGTATATTTACGTATCTGTGTATAATTTGAATAAACATGCAAATCAAAAAAGGTGGTTTGGTTGCTTTTCTAGTCCTGTAACACTGAATGCTGGGTAAAGTAGAGGATCAGTGAAAGGGGGAGGGCCCTCAAAAAGAGATTCACACAGTGGCTGCAATGGTGGGTTCTTTTGATAGCAGGGATTGTGAGGCTGGCAAAGGACTGGCCAGTGTTTTGTTGTGTTGTACATACGGTCGCTGTGAGTTGGAGCCTGCTTAACGGCACCGACAACAGCAACAACACAAGATAAAACTGAAAAGAAACCGACGAGGAAGTGGGAAGACACCTGTTACATTGTGGAGAACTGTAGTGGATGCGGCGAAACAAAATGCATACGGACTGCTATGTGGAATATGAATTTGCTCTGTAAACTTTCACCCACACCACAATAAAAATTTGGGGGGAAAATAGAAAAAAAACACTTTTCAGGTGTTTATGCGGCTGTTGTTAGGTGTCATCAGGTCAATTCCAACTGACAACGACCCCGTGTACAATGGAAGGAAGCCCTGCCTGGGTCTATGCCGTCCTCACAGTCCTTGCCATACCCCTGAGTCCATCGCTGCTGCCACTGTGTCAGTCCATCTTGTTGAGGGCCTTCTTCTTTAAATTGACCCTCCACTTTGCCAAGCATGACATCCTTCTCCAGGGACTGGTCCCTCCTGACAACGTGACCTAAGTAGGTGAGACGAAGTCTGGCCATTCTCGCTTCCAAGGAGCATTCCGGCTGCACTTCTTCCAGGACAGATGTGTTCATTCTTCTGGTAGTCTGGTAGTTTTCAGTAGTCTCCGCCAGCACCACAACTCAGAGACATCGACTCTTCCGTAGTCTTCCTTGCTCACTGGAGGCCATTTGTGTCTGTTTCTGGCTTCCTGAGAGGTGGGCTTTGTTTTGTTGTCATGAGTAGGTATGGAGCCTGTCACTTGCATTTTCTGCATCTGTTGACATAATCACGCTATTTCTTAGCCCTCGCTCCTGTCAGTGGAGGGGCTGCAGCACTGAATAGTAGAATGTTAAACAGCTGGGCATTCTGTGTAAACACCACTTGGTCATGGCTGTTGGGTTCAGTCGACTGTTTTCAAAGGAGCTCTGTGTTTTTGTTCATGAGGGATGTTGGCTGTAGATTTCGTTTCTTGTAATGACTGGCTTTGGTATTAGACTAATGGTGGCCTCATAAATCCTTGAACGGATTTTTTTTGGCATTGGCGTTTCTTCTTAAATCTTAGACAGAATTCACCAATGAAGCCCTCTAGGCCTTCAGTTGTCTTGGTTAGAAGGCATTCATTAGGACTCCAGGTCTTTAATAGATAAAGAAAGGGCTGTTCAAACGTCCTGTTTCTTCTTGTATTGGCTTCGGTCTTTAGTGTTTTTCAAAGCATTTATTCACTTCATCTAAGTTGTCAAATTGATTGGCTCCCATTTTCACAACACTCCTCGTTCTCCTTTTATCTGAAAGCTGTGGAGTGATGACCCTTTCATAGTTTTTTTTTTCCCTCCAGATTGTGTCAACTAAGGCTTTAACATTACAATTGGTTGATGTATTTTTCTAAATCTCTTTTAATCTGTAGGTTCTCCCTCATCTCTTTTTCTTACATTGTTTGTTCAAGAAGCCCAGTTATTTGTGATTAATTCCTGAAATAACAGTTGTTTTTAGTTTCTATTAGACAGGTTTTTTTCCAAGCTCTCTGCTTGGAGCCCACTGGTCTCCTAACATGTAAATCCTTCAGCTCCCAGCAGCCAGCAGTGTTTACGCTCGGAGCGACAGAGAACGGTTGCCATACAGCCCCGCATTCATTTGCTGTAGTGCATCTCTTTTCCCTTTTATGTTGGAGTTGAGTACTGAGGACTTTTCGTTTTTGTATCTGAAGAATAAAAGGTGTTTAAGGAGCCTGGTGGTACAATGGTTAAGTGCCATGTTACTAACATAAAGTTTGGTAATTTGAAGACAGTCCTGGCGATCTGCCCCTGTAAGGATTGCCAGTTGCTGTCGAGTCGATCCCCTGTGTGTGACAAGAGTGGAATGGCTCTGTAGGGGACCCTGTGCTGTAACGTGTTTGGAAGGCAGTCACTAGGTCTTTCTCCCAAGGAGCGGCTGGTGGGTTCGAACTGCTGAACTTTGGGTTAGCAGCTGAGCACTTCACCACAGTGCCACCAGGGTTACTTCTGTAAAGACGACAGCCTAGGAAGCCCTCTTTGGCAATTCTAGTGTGTCACATGGGCCGCTGTGAGTCAGAATCAACTTGGCAGCACCCAATAACAGGTACAATGACAACAGTGTTAAAGGATGTAGAGAGGAAAGAGCAGGGGTTGGTGGTGACCCTGGCTGTTTGTGCTTGTCTTTTTCAGGTGGGTCTGTGAGGAAATCCCAGACCTGAAGCTGGCCATGGAGAACTACGTTCTGATTGACTACGACACCAAAAGGTGAGAGGGCTGCTGCCTGCCGTCCCCACTATGGGCAGCACGGGGCTGCACGGGCCTCGCGCAGCTGTTCCTCGATGGTGCACGCCGATCCGCGCTTTCCTTTCAGAGCTGGCTGCCGATGCCGAGAGGTTATTTTGGTAGAAATGTTTATCAAACATTGGCAGATGCTGTCAGCATGGGGACAGAATTGGAAACTCGGCGTTCAGAAACTTGAGTCGGTGTGTGTGAAATGACTCTTTCTGGAGCTGGCTGGTGCCAGCCGTGTGAGCTGCGGCCTGGCCTCAGTCTCCTCTGGCTCCTTGGCCAGCCCCAGGTTGGCGCTGACTCGACTTTGGCTGCATCCAGCAGTTTCCTGGCGGCCCTCTCCTGACCCTTGCCCTGGGGAGGGGTGAGGCCATCTCTGGAATGCTGGCCGGGAATTTCTGTGTTTTTCTAGGGGAGAGAGGGGAAGCATTCCACGCTCTGGGCCGGGCCACACAGTCTGGGAGCACAGCTGCCTCTGGGGCATAGGGCACAGCACAGCCTGAGCAGCCCCAGGTCCCTGTGCAGGGCTCCCTCCGGGTTGTCTCCATTCCCTGTGTCCTAAGGGGCTGCTCTGGGGGCCGACCTGGGGTTTCAGCCTCAGTGAACAGCCCCCGTCCCTCTCCTCTTGTCCTTCTCCCTGTTTCATCAGCTGTTGCCACTGAGGTAGCAACTCCCTCTGTGTGTGGAGGGTGTTGGGTGGCCCACACACATCAGTTGGCACTAAGCCGGTGCTGTAGATTCCATGGTAAGCCCCCTGTACCTCAGGGTGAGGTGGGTGTGGGCAGCGGCACCTCCAGCCACATGGTCGAGATTTTTTGTCAGTGAGGCCCTGAGCAGTGAGTGTAGGCTGTGGTGGTGGTTTCCTCTTGGGACTGGCTTCTGGGAGCAGCTGGGGCACAGTGTGTGAGGCCAGGGTTGCAGGCAGCACAGCCACCGTGCCACAGTGCCCAGCGTGTCTGGGACTCTATGCACATCCACCCAGGACAGTTCTGCCAGGAAGAAGCCATGCGGGTTGAAAGAAAGATGCAGAAGGATGCATAGAAGGCATTGTGCACGAGGTCGGCCCGAGGCCCTGTGAATGGAGGATAGGCCTCTCTTCACCCCGCCCGGGTCTTTTGCACACTCACAGCCCGAAGCCCCACTGATGCACTTCCCTCCTCTGGCTCCGTGTTTGCGCCCCACTGTCCCCTCTTTTTCCCCATCTAGCCTGGTGGGCAGGCCTCTACCCTAACTTTTTGCCTCTGGGACCTGCCTCAGGGCTGCATGGGAGCCCAGGCCTGCCTTGCTGTTCCCAGAGGAATGATGGCTCCTCCCCTGCCTTTCAGCTTCGAGAGTATGCAGAGGCTCTGTGACAAGTACAACCGGGCCATCGACAGCATCCACCAGCTGGTAGGTGCTCCATCCGCCTCCACAGCCCCACCTGCTACAGGGTCACCAAGCCACACGTCTACCACAGGGAGCCTCAGCGGGCACAGGGGGCCTCAGGACCACGGTCCAGCGACAGGGATTTTACGGGTGACACTGTGATGCTGATGTTGGCACTGGGCACAGACAAGGCCCTTGGCCAGGCAGTGTATGCGCAGACCCTCCCCAGACAGCACTGGGATGAGCACGAGAGTCAGCGCACTGTGCCCACTGCCCTTGGGGCAGCTGTGAGTGGTCATTGCCCATGGCATGACTGTGGGTGCTGTTCCAGATGCCAGATGGGGCCCAGAACCCCAGCTACAGAGCGGAAGCTTTGTCTGGGCCCCCGCTGGTTCTCCTCAGGACAGATGTTTTGTCTGAGGCAGCCTTTCTGAGGCCAGAGTTGCAGAGCATGCCAAAGTCAGTGGGGTTGAGTGAGCCCTGTGGTCCTATCTCAGGGGTCCAGGCAGTAGGCACTTCTGCACAGTGTGGGTTGTGCCAATGAGTTGGGCCTGGGGAAGCCTAGTGGGAGGAGAGG